AAATGCAAACACGTTTATTACACTACACTGTTTACTCAGAAAGCAACGTTTAAATGAAAGCCTTGCAAAACACTAATTTGTCGCGAAACGTCCTAAACAGAAAATACATCCGAAAGCAAATATTGTAATTAGACATTCTCATTTTCTTTGAGAACGTAATTTCATGATTTCATTAAGTTGAGTGAGTTGATTAAACTAAATTTCAAGTAATAAGTCATTTTAATTCTGTGTTTATGTTGATTCTTTTAATTTCTCTTCAAGTATTCTTTAAGATTATAAAAAAGTAATAATAGTAAAAAGATTTCGAGTGGTGCCTTAGGCATAAGTACCATTAAAGCCACACACCTTGCCATATATGGATAATTGCATCAACTTTTTATTATTGAATTAAAATGCCATTCGCCATTTCAGACGCAAAAACCGTACCACAGAAAAGTGAAATTGAATATCATAGAAAGTAAAAATTTTACGTCCATATTAGCTACGCCATGAAAGTAGCCGCTGCGTCATTAGTAATTCATTCATTCCAAACTTTCGATTCAAATATTTTGATAGTCTCTGTTAAATATATCATACACAAAATCGTTGGTTCAAAATTAATTCATTAACATGTTTATGGACTAATTATTATTATATCCAGGTCCGCGTTTTTTGAAAGTATGCGCTCGTTATGCGTCGGTTATTTTTACTCGGTTACCCACTTATGTGTGATTAAACCTGAATAATAACGCTTAATTTCCGCAACCGTTTATTCGCAATTATATCCTCAACCGTGACCAAGATTTTAAAGTCTCTTTTAACAGTCAACTTGGTTTCGAATAGAAACCAAAATTTTCCCACGACACGGTGTAACCGTGAAATCTATGGTTATGTCTCGCTGCACTTTTAGTTAAATCTAACGTTATTATACTTAGTATAGATCAAGCTATCTTAAAAACGTTTACTAAAAGTTTTCGCCAAGTCATCGACCATTAACAACGAAGAAATCTTTCTAAAGATCTTTCAATCAACTCAAAGACGTGCTAATTGGTTTTGTTCGTGATTATTCCGTTTAAGAACATATTAGTTATGACGGGTTAAATGTGTGCCATACGTGTTTGTGAATTTTTAATTTATACGGCGGAAGTTTATTTGGGATGGTAACTTGGCAATTACCAACTCTATGACCAAGGTTACCCCACACACCTCCTAATGGTTAAATTGTCCAATTGAGCCGTGACGCATAATCTCCGCTTATAATTAATGGAACTACACAGAAAGAAAAGATTGGGTATATTTAACTAAACATTGGGCATAATTATCTAGAATTTGTGGTTAAAAATTAACCTAACAATGTTATTAGTTGATGTAGATATTTTCAAATAGTTGATTTACTTTGTCGAATATTTAGAAGATTTGTTGATAATATAGTTGAAAGAACTAATGTTCTAGTGGTGACTGTTTCTAATTATGTATTCATTTGATCTACATCTTTAGATAGATTGACTAAAATAGAATGAATGATTTATCTTAAATGTAGTAAAGCCAAAAGAAATGGATTAGCTATTATCACAATTCCTTTAGATGAATTATCTAATAATTTATTGTTGATATGTCTAAATAAGTAGTAATTCCAACTACATTTATATATATGTTTCTGCTAGGTTTTTTAGTTATGTTACCTAAATTATATAGATAAATCTTTACATAATATTAGATAATATTACTAGAATTAGTAGATATATTTTCTACTATACATTAGGTATAAGTACTATTGTTGCTGTCATTTTAGGTATAAATAAAAGAAATGAAAACTGTATTTAAATGATTTATTTAATAAAATAAATACAGGAAATATAAATAAATAAATAAAATTGTTACATTTACATACATTAAAATGTTACATATTGTTCTTTCCACTGAAACAAACATTTTCTAAATTTTATTCGTTGTCCAAATTTATCAGCAGGTATTAGATTGTCAATATCGGATATGGTCAATTCTTTAAAAACCTCAATATCAATCTTTTTAGCTATAAATAAATCACAAATTTAAACATTTCTAATCTGTTGTTAACCAGTTTACAGGTTGTCTTATAAAAATACCAAGCGGTATCGTTTCTTTGTTAATTTCATTCAAATACACATACCTATCTGATATTCGTTATGGAAAATTCGTATACAATCATCAAACTACCGACTTTATTGGATAACTCAACCAATCTTGTGAACTAATTTTACTAATGGGTAAATAGATAATCGAACTAATTTTTAGATAAATGATCTATTTGAAATAAACTCAAGTCCGTAAATGATATTTTTATGTAGGTTTAACAAGTTAAATAATATTCATAATCAGATAGTAATTATAATAAGAAAAAAAATGCTTGGATTGGTTTTTATAAACAACCTGCATAAGGGTACGAACACGTAGAACGCTGATTCGTGCTTTTTGTAAGCGCTTGTGTGCCAGCGCAAGTAATCCAGATAAATCCTTATGGCCTGCGTATGTCTGGAGATAAAGCTATATTATACTGGCTTGATGCATTTTATCAACAAGCGCTTGCAACCAGCGCGAACCAGCGTTCTACGTGTTCGTACCATACTACATATTATATTATAATGAAATTCGTTTAAACAGAAATATTACTCTGATGATCTACCGACTTTAACTAATAATTAATTTTACTTACCTAAAAAATCATCAATTAGGTCACCTAATCCCCATTCCACAAGCAATGAACTAACAACGTCTTCTTGCACGACCGCTTCATTAACTATTTGATCTGCCATTATAAATATGTATAAAATGTGGACGCACACTACCTCGTATTTCGCAGTTTCAATTGTAACTGAGCCAATCCGAACACTTCGTTGTGTACACGTGTTGAACACGTCAGAACACGACTAGAACACTGTAGCCGTAAAGGAAAACATCGGGCAAGCATTCTTAAAATCTAACTAGTTTAGGCACATGATACAAAGATTAGTTATCTTTTCAATTCATTACTAGATATTTAATACGAAAATACAACTACTACATTAGACAACATTAGGTAATTTTACCATGTCAATAACGAATGGTCTATATTTCTATTTATACGTAAATTTAACTACTTTCTTTGTTTATTTATGCCAGACTACTTTAGTAATCAAACTTCTGTAATCAGTTTTTAGCCTCCTATAAGCAATATTTAATCTCCTCCAGGCAGTATCTAGTCTCATACAAGCAGTATTAGTTTCTACAACCAATAGGTTGTTTTCTGCAAACAGTATTTCATATTTTGTAAGCACTTTTTAGTTTCCTGCAAACAGTATCTAGTCTTCTGCAAGCATTATTAACTTCTGCGAGCAATATATCGTCTCCTGCAAGCAGTATCTGGTCCCATACAAGCAGTATTAACTTCTGCAACCAGTAGGTAGTCTTCTGCAAACAGTATTTAATCTTCTGTAACCAGTATTTAACTTGCTACAAGCCACTTTTAGTCTTTTAGGAAGGAAATTGTAAAATTGGTCAATTTAAGTGACACGGTTTTAATTAAAACTCTATTTTTAACTGAAAAAAATTTGCTTTTCTGCTAAAAAAATATTTTAAATCAAATCGTTTTGCGAAATAGGTAAAGTTTGTCTTCTACAAACTTGTATAATCAGTTTTTAGTCTTCTGCAAGCAATATTTAATCAAATCGTTTTACTTTAGTTGTTTCTATAAACAACGAAATCTTTAGTTAATACCTCTAGAATAATTGTAAAACTAGCTAATTTGATTTCATCTAATTTGAAGTTGCAATAACATCTTATATATTTAGGTAAATTTTATAGGATTTTAGATAAAATAACGAATTTTTCGGAAACTAATCATAGTTAGTTAAACTTTCCATTTCATTTTTCTCTGTGTACTATGTAAAAAGTTAAATAATAAATAATTTTTAAATAAGTAATTATTAATCCCTCTAGGCACGTAATTGCTTCATTTATTGTAAAATACAGTTTAGATCAAGAAATTAGAACAAAGTAAGAAATTTAAGTGAAACCGAGCTTAACCCAGATATCCAAACCAGCTTAAGACAATTGCAATTGTACAAAAAACCAATATAAATCGTCGTTTTATGAGTAAAGAGTACAAAGGAACGTGGGCAGACCACAGCTTGTTCCCGTAGCCTAAATACGTAAACCGATTACTCAAAAGCCGCAGAACAGTAAAGAGATATAGAAACCGTATCGATGGGTATTTGGGCCTCGCATAACTCATGGCAGATTCGGACAAAAGCCGAAATTTAAGACGACGGTAAATTTATTCGTTAATAAATCGCGTAAGTGGGTTCGTCGTTGGCGGCGCGCGCGCTAACTTTCAGTATATGGTATAAGCGGCATTCTCATTTTCTACCCGATCGGTAATTGACAGCTGCCCAACTCGGGTGAAGTAGCACTTTTGCAAATTACCCACTTCTTTCTTTTCAGCCGTCCATATACGATCCGGCGAGTACGTGCTGGCTTACCAGTACCATTTGTAGAAGTTGACTTTTGAAAGGTCCCTGGTATTACAGCACTGCTAAACATTTAAAAGCTTTTATACAGCTGTGACATCTTAATTTAAAGTTTAATGACTCTAAATAAAATAAGAAAGAATCAAATCTAGCAAAGTAATGATTAACAGTGTAATAGTTTATAAGAACAGGATTGAATTAAATTCAGATATTAGTTCAATTTCAAAGTTCCTAGTTTGATTACATAGTATAGTCTTATGTAGATTGATTTAGTTTCGCCTTACAGGCTAAGAAATTGCACTTCTTGTGGGCTTATAAATGATTGCCGGGAACAATTTATGTGCGTAAATCCGTTTCAATCGATCTTTTTCTGCCCCCTTCAAACGAAGCATGTCGCGTATCACGTGGGCTTTCTAATAAGGAATAGAAATTATAGCGAGTCGTCGTCAGCATGCCATGCGAACCGGCGTGGCACGTGGGCGACTAAACGAGACGAAGTAGAAGGCAAAAAATAAACGTAATTGGTTTATCACTTACCGGAAACCTGTGCTCGGACGGTACTTCCTGCGCTCTGTGGAATGTGTCCTGCAAATGTTAAAAAACTTGAGTTAACTCAGGATATCGCTAATTGCTTCTGAAGAACGACTTTGAGGGCGTTGTACTTGTATTCACATTTTTTAAATCACATTTTTAAACTTTTAGAATTATAAAATGATTTTGATATATAGGCCACGGTATTTGCTACATTACTTAATAATAATTATGACTAGAGCTAACACTAGACTTAAAACTAGTAACATTCTAGTGTTAGTCCTAGATTTAGTTCAATAAAAACACTAAATAATAACTAAAATTTCACCCGACCATTAATATTTGGGTTTAGCCATGCGTCTCTTAACCCTTTTTAACCTAGTGTTGCCATATGGAATCACAGCGCGCCGACTTATTATTTGCAAGTTTGAACTTGTTTGTGCAAGCAAATCGTGTCGAGAAGCGTTTATGCATGTGCAGAAACCTCAGTCGCGCCATAACAAGCAGTTAGAGCGGTTCTAAGTATGTTTTGTTAAAATAATAGTTAATTCATTATAGTGGTTTTTATGATTGACGACGATATGGATGATTAAGCGAGGTAAGTAACTATTTTTTATATTTCGCAATAATATAAATATTTGATTCTTATGTATTATATTCTACACACTTCATACTATAAATTAACATTATTTGTTTTACTCTCTTCACACTACTTTTTGAGAAAACATGACAAAATTTCCATGTTGCCAAACGGCAACGCTAAGTTATCCCAATGCTATTTTGAATAAAACGAACGAATAAAATACTTTCACGATTGTTACATGTTATTTACATTTTGGATCATTTATGATGCCCGTTCAATGTTATATTGTAAAACATTTTTATTTTAGAAGCATGGGCATTCGATTTGTGGATGGATTTACTGTCAAAGAAGCATTAGATATGATTTTTGAAGTTGAGGAAAGAAATGAAAACGACGACAACCCAATAAGAGCAGTGTTTATATCTCCACCTGAGGCAACTGTTCTTACGGATGAAGATTCTGGAGATGAAGTTGAGTGTGAAGCTGATAATTTGAATGCGAGACAATTATTATCAGAAGCAGAGGTTGTAAGAGCACATCGAATAGAAGAAGAATTTGTTTGGGAGGAAAATAAAAAAAGAACATGGATCGAAGGGGAATTTGAAACTACAGTGGAAGATAATTTTCCAAGCCAGGTTCATGATTTTACAAACAAATCTTCTTCAGATATTTTCGAATTATTTTTCAATGAAGAAATTATTAATTTTTTAACGAGTTCTTCAAACGAATACGCGCAATTTATAAATTATGGAAATCCTGCAATAACTTCAGAAGAAATTAAAGTTTTCGTGGCAATATTGATTCTCAGCGGATATAATAAATTGCCAGGAAAGAGATTTTATTGGGATAAAACTAACGACATGGGCAATGAGCTAGTAACAAATAGTATGCGAAGAAATCGATTTGAACAAATTTTACGATTTTTTCATTGCTGTGATAACTCCAATCCAAATTTAAACGATAAAATGTGGAAATTGCGACCCTTGGTGAATATGGTAAAAAAAAACATTCACAAACACTATATTCCTGAAAAAAATTTGTCATTTGATGAATGTATGGTGAAATATTTCGGCAAACATGGATGCAAGCAATACATTCATGGAAAACCGATTAGGTTTGGTTACAAAGTATGGTGTTTGAACACTGTAGATGGATATCTTGTGGACTTCGAAATTTATCAAGGAAAAAGCATATCTTCGAACGAAAGATACGAAAAATGCTTTGGGAAAGCTGCTGCTCCGTTACTCACGATGCTGGATTCTTTACCCAAGGACAAGCAGTTATTGCCCTATCATTTATATTTTGATAATTTATTCACCAGCCTGAATTTATTACGTTATTTGAAAGAAAGAGGATACCACGCAACGGGAACAATACGAGAGAATAGAATTCCTAAAAATAATATTCTACCTTCAAATAAAGAATTCAAAAAAAATGATAGAGGAGTTTATCAGAGTGCAATTTGCAAAGAAGATGCAGTAATTGTTGTAAAATGGGCAGACAATTCTATTGTCTCAATTGCTTCGAATTGCCATGGCGTTGAGCCACTTTCCACTGTCAAACGATACTCTCGAGTACATAAAAAAACTGTCCAAGTGTCACGACCTTATGTATTGGGAGAATATAATAAATACATGGGTGGAACAGATAGAATGGACGAAAATGTTGCCAAATATCGTATAAACATACGTAATAAAAAATGGTATTGGCCCCTTTTAACGTGGCTAATAGATATCTGTATACATAATGCATGGACGCTGCAACGAAAATTTGGAAGTACTGAAATTCCACAACTTCAATTTCGAAGAGAAATTGTACTGACTTATCTCGGCCAATATGGAAAAGCAGCAAAAGGTGCAGGGAGACCTTCCTCCTCGAAAAGTTCCATCATGCAAAGGGTATCCGAAGCAGTAAGATCAGATGGGAGAGATCATTTTGTAGCAAAAATACCGGACAACAGAAAATGGCGATGTGCTGGTGGAAACTGCAAATCCATAATGAGAACTATGTGTAAAAAATGTAAAATTGGTATCTGTATAGATTGTTTTGAAGAGTTTCATAAATCACAATAAAATGTGTATCAATAAAAAATGGTTGAAATGGAATTTTCTTTGTTTTGTCATTTTTTATTTTTGTTTATATTTTGGAATTATTGGAGAAGCTGAGCTCTAACCTTATTAATAATTGACATCCTAATAGCAGTGTAACTTCTTAGCGTTGCCATATGGCAACGCGGATTATCTCGTAACTTTTATTAGTTTTTGATAATATATATTTAAAATGTCCTTATATAACAATAAAATAATAGTATTATACAAAAAAAATTTAAAAAATTTAAAAAAATATAATTCAGGTTATTAAGGGTTAAGACAGCTAAACCCGAATGTTTCTTCTTCTGAATGATGCAAATAGGTTAATGATGTGCACTAGATATATCTTTTTACAATATTTATTGTATTAACTTTCTACTTGGAAGAAATCCACACCGATGTAATACATTAAACATAGTAGCCGGTCACATTCGATCATTATTTGAAAGGATTACATGTGCTTGACACGCGATCCAAAGTAGAAATCGGTAATTTTTGCGCTTATTACAAATCTAAACCGTAGTTCATACGATTGCAGCGACAACGTGAGTCAATGTAATCATGTAATAATTTAAGTACATTTCTAGTTTCAAATGCAATCTTAACCTAAGGCAATTTTCCTGTATCGTATCTGGTACGTTAATACGGTTTGACTTACCAGGTCGAACACCTTGGTGTATACAGAACGATTTGAATCTACTCGCGTGTACGGATAATCGTATACTTTACATTGACACTAGGTAGCTCAGCATGGAACATTATAAATAAATTTGTATTCAGTCGTGACGCGAATTAGTCGTTGAGTTAACGTAAGCTGTATATATTTACTTGATAAACCAAAAAAGGTTAAAAATAGATTTAAAAGTACCATATTATTTTTATTAAACTATTAAGCATTTAAATAACGTTGTAGTTAGATGGTTGTTGATAAGAACATTCTTGGAAATCTTGCCATCTTCTTAGAATTCAATGAACATCCTCATTCTTGGCTCGCCAATAGAGTCTCATTTATAATTAGTAGGTCAAGCCTTAATTGCGGCAGATGTTCACGCATCGATTGAATCCACAATCTCTCAATCTTGCCTTTTGTGAGTACTCCACGGTATTGTATCTGGGCAACATCACACGTCTAGATCTCTTTGTGCCGCTACACAAGTCGGGAGATCGTCTCGATCGATACACAACCAGCCAGAAGTAATTGCCTTCTTTTCATGGCACGTTCTTAATGCACGGCCATCGAGATAATTAATAACGATATCTACGAAGCGGTTTGCGAGAACTTGACAACCGCCGTTTGGCGTTTTGTTCAACAAGTGTTGTTACGATTGAGAAGAGAATTCTTCGTTCTCCGAAAAGAAACTTTCATCAATTTTTTTTCCGCGCAGTTTTCTTCCTGTATGCGTACGCGAAATGTCACCGCCACTCTCTCTGTAATGCCGAAGAGGCCATTTCTATTTTGCTTTTACGGTCCTGGTGTAACTCATAGCGGATTTTACTTTTACTTTTTCACTTAGAGGTTCGCCATAATAGCTTACGAGTTCCCTCTCGACGAATGAATGCCACCGAATGAACATTGTGGTCGAAGACTTCTCGACCATTACCAGTAAAGGGGCAAAGTTTTATTAAAACTAAAGGATTGTAATTCCCTCGTCTAAGTTCTCTTATGTATTATTCATTGAGTACTATCGGCAATTACGAACACTAAGCGAGTGGTAATTGGGGCGTACAATGAATAATTGGCCTTAAGCGATTTGAAAGACGATAAATCTTCTAGCTAGGAAACGTTCACTGTGTACAACAGATTTCAAGTTAAATCATCTTGATGGCTAATAGTTTAACGCCCCTTTTTACCCATTTCAATATACTCGAGTTTGATATCTAAGGATTATCTCTTCTTTTAACTTTATTTGCCTTTCCATTTACACTCATAATGGATCTTTTATGATTCTACAATTGCTACCATCAATTTATTTATAATGATAATACAGCGAATATTGCTTGCTGTGAATATTTATCATCTTAAAAATTAAGACATGACTATCCCAACAAGTCGATTATAAATTATAACATTCATCCTGCCATAAACGAAGGAAGGAGACATGGTCCACCTTGTATGATTAATTGATCTAAATTGGCTCTGACTTTATGATTAAAAGCGAACATTAACTAGCGATGAATTCATTAAAAAATAATTGAAACCATTTTTAATATATATCAACAATTATCGGGTGGGTTATATGAAAGAAGTATACGTTCTAATCCTAACCAAGAGGTATGTGAATATTTGCACGCAACGTTTGGTGAGCCGGAAGCAATCCTTGTGTTAAATGAACCACGAGACCTGTTTTAAAGATTTATTGAATTAATGCAGACATAAGATT